AGTCACTAGATAACAGCCCATGGTATTGGAAGTACTATATTGGCAAGCTATATTGTGACCTGTGGGGTTCCACAGGAATTAGTTTTAGGACTGCAACTGTTTACAATATACAGAATGACTTGGAGGAAGGAAGTGAATGTATTGTACCCAAATTTGCAGACTATACTAAATTAGATGGAAAGGCAGGTTGTGAGAGGGATACAAACTATTCACAGCAAGATACTGATATATTAAGTAAATGGGCAAAAAGTGATGAGTATAATGTAGGAAAATACAAAGCTGTTCATTTTGGAAGGTAGAACAAAAGAACAGAATACTATTTAAATGGAGAAAAACTACAGAAAGCTTCAGTAGAACATAGAACTGTACAGCACAGGAACAGGCCCTTTGGCCCACAATATTGTGCCGAACCTGACACCAAACTAAACTAATCCTTTCTGCCTGCCCTTGGCCCATATCCCTCCATTCCTTGCATTTTCATGTGCTTATCTGAAAGTCCCTTAAACGGCCCTATTGTATTTGCCTCCACCACCACCGCTGGCACCGTGTTCCACACTCCTACCACTCTCTGTGTAAAAAACGTGTACCTCACAACTCCTTTAAACGTTTGCCTCTCACCTGAAATGCCTCTCACCTCTAGTATTAAACATTTCAATTCTGAGAAAAAGATTCTGTCAACCCTATCTATGCATCTCATAATTTTCTAGACTTTTATCAAGTCTCCCCTCAGCCTCTGTGTCTCTCCAGAGAAAACAACCCAAGTTTTTCTAGCCTCTCCTGATACTTCATAACCTCTGTTCCAGGCAGCATCTTCTACTGCACCCTCTCCAAATGCTCCACATCCTTCCTGTAATGTGGCGACCAGAATTGAATGCAATACTCTAAGTGAAGCCTAACCAAAGTACTATAAAGCTGCAACATGACATCCTGACTCTTGTACTCGTTTCCCCAACCAATAAAAGCAAGCATCATAAGCCTTCCTTATCACCCTATCTACTTGTGTGGCTACTTTCAGGAAGCTATGGACTTGAACCCCAAGATCCTTCTGTACATCAATACTGTTCAGGGCCCTATCATTAACTGTATATTTTTCCTTAACATTTGATCTCCTAAAGTGCAGCACCTCACAGAGTGATAGAGTCATAGAGCTGTACAGCACGGAAACAGACCCTTCCGTCCAACTCATCCATGCTGACCAGATATCCTGAGTTAATCTAGTGCCATTTGCCAGAATTTGGCCCATATCCATCCAAACCTTTCCAATTCATGTAACCATCAAAGAATAAAGAACAAGGAAAATTACAGCACAGGAACAGGCCCTTCAGCCCTCCAAGCCTGTGCCGATCCAGATCCTCTATCTAAACCTGTCGCCTATTTTCCAAGGATCCATATCCCTCTGCTCCCTGCCCATTCATGTAACTACCTAGATACATCTTAAATGACGCTATCGTGCCCACCTCTACCACCTCCGATGGCAACGCGTTCCAGGCACCCATCGCCCTCTGCGTAAAGAACTTTCCGCGCATATCTCCCTTAAACTTTTCCCCTCTCACCTTGAAATCGTGACCCCTAGTAATTGAGTCCCCGGCTCTGGGAAAAAGCTTCCTGCTATCCACCCTGTCTATACCTCTGATGATTTTGTAGACCTCAATCAGGTCCCCCCTCAACCTCCGTCTTTCTAATGTAAATAATCCTAATCTACTCAAACTGTCTTCATAGCTAGCGTCCTCCACACCAGGCAACATCCTGGTGAACCTCCTCTGTACCCTCTCCAAAGCATCCACATCCTTTTGGTAACTGTACGCAGTTCTGTATACAGTAAAAGGCATCCAGATGCCTTTTAAATGTTATAATTGTACCAGCCTCGACCACTTTCTCTGGCAGCTCATTCCATACGCGCATCACCCTCTGCGTCAAAAAGTTGCCACTTAGATCCCTTTTAACTCTTTCCCTCGAGCAGGGAGTCCAGAATTGCATGCAGTATTCCAAAAGTGGCCTAGTCAATGTCCTGCACAGTCACAACATGGACCTCTCAGCTCCTATACTCAATGCACTGACCAATAAAGGCAAGCATACCAAATGCCTTCTTCATTATCCTGTCTACCTGCGACTCCACTTTCAAGGAACTATAAACCTGCAATCTAAGGTCTCTGTTCAGCAACATTCCCCAGGACCTTACCATTAACTGTATAAGTCCTGCCCTGATTTGCTTTTCCAAAATGCAACACCTCACATTTATCTAAATTAAACTCCATCTGCCACTCCTCGGCCTATTGGCCCATCTGATCAAGGTCCCGTTGTATTCTGAGGTAACCTTCTTCACTGTCTACTACTCCTCCATACATGGATTAAATTCCATCTGCCATTTCTCTGCCCATATCTGCTATTGATCTATATCCCGCTATATTCTTTGACAACCTTCTACACTATCCACAACTCCAACCGATCTTTATATCATCTGGAAACTTACTAATCTACCCATCTACATTTTCATCCGAGTCACTTGCATATATCACAAACAGCAGAAGTCCCAGTACGGATCCCAGATCCCTGTGGAACACCACTAGTCATTGACCTTATCCCTCTCTGTTCCTATGTCGTTGGTACCAATGTGCACCACGACCTCTGGCTGCACTCCCACCCTCCCCCTTAAGAATTTCATGCAACCACTCAGAGATGTCCTTGACCCTGGGACCAGGGCAGCAATACACCATCCTGGAGTCTCAAATGCGGCCACTGAAACGCCTGTATGTGTCCCTAACAAGCGAGTCTCACTATCGCTCGCTTAGATCTTGCACGACCCTGCTCCACAGCAGAGCCAGTTGTGGTGCCAAAGGCCTGGCTGCTGCCTTTATACTCCCCTGAAAGGCTGTCCTCCTCAACAGTATCCAAAACAGTATACCTGTTAGAGAGGGGAATAGCCACGGGAGACTCCTGCACTACCTGCCTGCATCTCCTGGTGGTCACCCATCTGCCTGAACCTGTGGTGTGACCACCTCCCTGTAACTAGTGTCTATCACACACTCTGCCCCCTGTATGCTCCTCGGTGTGTCCAACTGCTGCTGCAACCGAACGACACTTCCTGCAGACAGAGTCGTCAGGGACACTAGATTGCTCCGTGATCTCCCACTTCTGGCAGGAGAACCACACCACTGCCCTAACTGCCATCATCTCTGCCCCTTTACACTCAGAAAGATAAAAGAATCTTCCCTTGCCTTTACCTTGCTTGCCTTACTCACAGATGCCCAGTATTCACCTAAACCCACGCTTACAGAGCCAGAGACTTTTTCCTAGGGTGGAGGTAGCTGTTACGAGGGGGCATAGTTTTAAAGTGAGTGGAGGTAGATATAGGGGAAACGTCAGAGGTAGGTTCTTTACTCAGAGAGTGGTCGGGGTGTGGAATGCATTGCCGGAGAGGGTAGTGGAGTCGGCCTCATTAGGGGCATTTAAGCGGCTATTAGATTGGCATATGGATGATAGTATAAGGTAGGGGTGGAGGTTAGATAGACCTTAGGGTTAGGGTAAAAGTTTAGCATAACATTGTGGGCCAAAGGGCCTGTACTGTGCTGTACTGTTCTATGTTCTATGTTCTATGTTCTTACAGCAACCAGCAGCACTAACTGGTTACTTAAAGTACAATGCAATCTTTACAAATCAAATAACCTCTAGGTTACAACAAACTACAATAATGCAAAGATACTTGGCTGTACTTGCGTATGAAACACAGAAAGCCAGCACACTGGTGCAGCAGGTTATCAGGAAGGCCAATGGAATGTTGGCCCTTATTTCAAGGGGTTTGGGGTATAAGAGTAGGAAGTCTCACTGCAGCTGGACAAGGTGCTGGTGAGACTATGAGTAGTTTTGTTCCCCTTATTTAAGGAAGGATATCATTTCATTAGTGGTAGATCAGAGACGCTTCATGATGATGATACTCACTATGGAGAGATTGTCCTATGAGCAAAGGCTAAACAGGTTGGGACTCTATTGAAGAATGAGAGATGAAACATATAGAATTTTTGAGGGGCTTGACAGGGTAAATGCTGAGAGAATGTTTCCCCTCATAGGAGAGTCTAGAACCAGAGGGCATAGTCTCAGAACAAAGGGACACCAATATAAGATTGAGACGAGGAGGAATTTCTTCTCTCAGAGGGTTGAGAGTCTTTGAAACTCCCTGCCACACAGAGGTATGGGGGCAATGTCCTTGTGTATATTTAAGGCTGAGGTAGATAGATTCTTGATCAGTAGGAGATCAAACGTTCCAGGAAAGGACAGGAATGTTAGATCAGCCATGATCTTACTGAATGGCACAGCAGGCTCAAGGGACCAAATGGCCTACTCTTGTTCCTATATCTAATGGTTTTGTGCCCTCTGGTACCTCAAATGAGAATTCTTCAAGGATAATTTCACCCAAGCGTACAGCTGCAGATGATTCAAGAAGTGGATTTCAAATGGGAAACATTGATGTATGTAGCACTTACTGTCAGCCAGCTGAGGCAGCTACACTATTGTTCATAGAATCATACAGTACAGAAGAGGCCCTTCGACCCATCACGTCTGTACCAGCAAGCATGTACTATTACCTAGACTAGTCCCATTTTCCACATTAGGCCCATGGCCTTGAATGTTACGACATTTCAAGTGCTAATCCAGGTATTTTTTAAAGGTTGAGAGGATTTCTGCCGCAACTACTCTCCCAGGCCGTGCATTCCAGACCCCCACCACTCTCTGGGTGCAAAGGTTTTTCCTTAAATCCCTGCTAAACCCTTTGTCATTGACCCTTTGGCTAAGCAGAACAGCTGCTCTCTATTCACCCTGTCCACACCTTTCATAATCTTATACACTTCTAACATGATGTGGGCCAAACCTGGCTTGAATGGAACTGGTTTGTACACCTTATTACTGGACCACACCCGGGGGAGTGCAACATTCTGCACATGAACCTACTACAGTATGAATACTTCAACATACAATATCATTGCTTATCAATCGCTTTCACCTACCTGGGGAAAGGCAACAGCCTTCGCCGCTGGGCCTCAAGCAGCTGCTGGTGTAAGAGATATTGCTGGTGTAACGACTGAGGTAAGAAGGTCGGAACGTCCTGGAACTGTGCGCTTGGTAAAGGAGTCAAAGGCTGGTGTACCGGCACTGCAGTTGTGGTGTGCTGGTGTGATGGAGTCAGTTGACTGCTCAGACCTGGCTGAGACTGGACAGAGTGAGACAGGGGGAACTCGGATTGTGGAGAGAGGTGAAGTTGTCTGCAGGATGTGACGTGTGACTGCTGTGACCTTGGGAAAGGGGCACCTGTAGAATTAAGAAGTACCATTATTGTGGCGTTACGATTCAGGGTTGACTCATTCACCTGGAAGATCTGTGGGACATTAGAGATGGCATAAATAATTAAAATTGTTGTTTCCTTCATCTGCCTGACTGTTCCACCAAGTTTGAAGATTGGGAAGACCTAGGAGAAATTCAAGGTCGTAGGGGAAGTTTCAGCGAATATCCTAGTCTGGATCGGAATTCCTTGTGGCAGATTCCAATTTCCCATGTTACCATCTGAAAACTTCAATTATTAAAGCAACTTTTTGGCAACTTGTTGTGTTTCTGTATCTATGCATAAAAAAAATGACTGTATTCAAACAGCTCCAGGACTGGAGATGGGAAAGTGGAGTACAGAGTTGGGCACAAAAATCACCTGAAGATTGCAAAGGCAGCAAAGCAACATGAAAACCTCAGTGCTCCTTCTCCCAATCAACCACAACAATTTGTATTTATATGGTACCCATATTTATCTATAAATTGAAGGGTGACACCAGGCCAGAAAAGGAAATATTAGGTCAGCTGATCAAAACTTTGGTCATAGATGTTGGTTTTGAGAAGTGTCTAAAAGGAGGAAAGTGTAGGAGTCAAGTCACCATAGTTTTACTAGACCATAGGGCTGCTCTTGTCATTAGAGAGACATGACTGGTGGTGATTTAACCTAAGGGCTACCACACTTCAGGTGATGCCTTCACGGTAACCCTAACTGGTGCAGGATTGAATCCAAGTGTGAGGATAGCATCCCACTGCCTTGTAAACTAACCATCCAGCCAACTGAGCTAAACCAAGCCCAGGAATCAAGTATAGGAAGGGAGAACTTAGGACCTAGGCTCCTGATGTCAATGGTGAAGCAGTTAGAATTGGAGATGCATGGTGAGCAGTCAAGGAGCACAGATATTTCAGAGGATTGTGGGGGTGGGGAGATTATAGAGGTAGAAAGGGGCAAGGAGGGATTTGAAAACAAGGATGATAACTTTAAAATCTCTACCTTGCTTTCACCTATATAACTTTAATAGGAATTATTACAAAGAGTCATTTGGGAGAACGATACGGTAGAATGAATGGAGTAGGGTGGGAAACCAGCAGAGGCAGGCGCCAGCACAAGAGTTTAGTGCCAGGGTTGCGGATAGTTGAGGAGGGGGAGGGTTGAATGCATCGGAATTGTGGAATGGGAACTGGGAAAGGATAGACAGAAGGGGATGGTATGGCATGAGAGAATGACATGGGAAGGATTGGAATGACCTGGTTCAAGGGATTCACTGTGGGATTGGAACAGCATGGGAGGAAGAGAAACGCAGCATGAATGTGGGGGTGGGGCGGTGGGGGGAGCACCTTAGGCAGAAGATGGGCAGTTGGATTCTGTGTGGGGAAGTTGGTAAAATGGGTGGGGGATTTAAAGAAGTACTGTTGCAGCAAAGTTTGAACTGCAAGTGTTTTTCAGGTCTTTTCTGATAATACATAACATGTAAGTACTTTTTATCTCATCCTCTGCAGAAAGTATGATTAGCTCCTTTTAAAGGCTTAGACAGACTCTCCATGTTGAACAAGGCCCTGAGAAAGACATTTAAAATATCTTGGCCACCTGGATAGGGACAGTTAATCTGTCCAGACCCCTCACAGTGTTGAGTCTTTCTGTCAAATCTCTTCTTAGGTGTCCCTTCACTAAGGAGAACAGACCTAACTTTTCCAATCTGTCTTCCTATGAAAGTCCTTATCCATTCTCCTGATTCTTTTCTGCACCCTCTCCAGTGCCTCCATTGTGAGGTACTGCTGTTGTGGTAATGTCATTAGGCTAGTAATGCAAAGCCTCAGGCTAATGCTATTGAGAACATGGGTGACTTGAAAGGAATTCGGGGATTTACACGTACATTAATCAATTAAAACCTTCTAACTGATTAAAGATTTAACAACATCTTAGGTTTGTTTAATACATCCTCATCAGTGGTGTGACCCTTTGATCTTTTACATATAAATTCTGCGTTTGATTCCACCTCTCTCACTAACACCTGAAGGAGGAGTGAAGCTCCGAAAGGTTGTGATTTCAAATAAACCTGTTGGACTATAAGCTGGTGTTGTGAGATTTCTGACCTTGTCCACCCCAGTCCAGCGCTGGCACCTCCACATTATGGCTCCGCATGGCAGGTAGTGGAAATGTGAATTCATTAGAAACCTGGATTGTTGGAGAAATCCTTCTAGTTTACTAGTGACTTTTAGTAAAGTCATTCAACTCAAGGGATGGGTAATAAATCCTCATGAATGGCACTCATTTTCATCTATAAAATTCCTTGTAAAGCATGTAACCCGAACTAGATGAAATATTCCAGTTCTGGATGAGGTGCTTTACAAAGAATTTTATATATTGAAAGTGAGTGTGAGTGAGTGATAAAATACCAGTAATTTATACAAGTTTTACCATAACCTCTTTATTCTATGGCCCTATTTAATAAAGGTGAGGGATTGAATCTTACATTACTTTGACTGTCAATTTTCATGAGGCTTTCTCTCTGCAAGGCCTAGAGAGCTTTCAACAATAGCAAGTAGCAAATATACATGGGTCAGAGATGTGCCGTGAGGGTTCTTAGAGGCTGGACATAGCAGATGCCAATATCTGTGCACAAGGGGAGCGCATGGCTGGTGCCCATGATGCGTGCCCTGACAGGCTGATGCCTGGTGTCCAATATGAAGACTCTTTTGGAGCAAGCACTGAGCTGAAGTTGCCAGGTTCCCACTCTGGTTTCCAGGCTGATAATTCTCAACATGGTACAACAGAAAAGTGCATATTAAAGATGCAGCATCTGCAGTTAATAAAGTCACTAACAACCAATGATCTCCCCTTAATAGGCAACTTAATGCTGCCTAACAAGAATCTTGCCTTGACACCCAGAACTTAGTTAAAGGATGCAGCAAGCTGTTTCTGACATCAAGATAGGCCTCAGCAGACTTCTCACGTAATTCTGCTGCATTTCTGGCAAAGCCCACACCATTCAGGTCCCAATAAGATTCTGCTCTAGGATATTGCATGCTTTATTAAATACACTTTCAACCTGTCTGCCACCTTCAATGCCCTATACACATTTTGGCCACATTCCTCTGCTCTTGCACAGTTTAGCGTTGTGTATCCTTTATCACACCCAGCTAATGATATATTGACAGGACAAGGAGTGTCTGAGGATTCAGCAATGTATGACCAGGTATTGAAGGCTTTCCATGTGCACGTTTATATTGTACAAAGCAACATGAATGACCATGTGAAGTACATGCATTCAGGACCCAGAAGAAAGCAAAGTCTCATTTGTAAATGGCTTATAGCAACCCTCAAACAATTATGACCACAGCTCCTTGGGGAAGAGCTAATCCAAGAATGGATAACATTGTGTAAGGGGGTAAGGGGTGGTGTGAGGCCCTTTCAGACCTCCTGCAGTCCAGAGACAACTTTACATTGTCAAAATGAGTGTAGATTGTTAGGTCGTGAGAGCTGCAAAAATAGACCAAGCCCTTCATTAGAGATGAATGAGATCTTTCAACCAACAATTTGTGGAATTGGTACAGCTCCCCAATCACAGAGATTTCAACACAGCTACTAACACTGGTAGAAGAGAGAACTGCAGTCATCAGTTCCCTCTTCCAGAAGGGGCACCAAAGAATATCCCACCACCAACACACTGTAGTTACCTGCTTTGCCATCCTGCTAGGAGACCATGCTGCAGTGAGATGTTGGAAAGGTATTGCACAATTCGAAGGATAAGGATGCTCTAGTATGAATTCAGAAGGTACCAGAGACAAGCAGGCAAAGGACCCCAGAGAGGTTTGGCAGCAAACAAATGGAAGCCATGGAGGATTTTCCCTACAACTCACTTTGGGCAAAAACATTGATGTGTCCATTTAAGAGACCAATCCTCAGCCAAGTATAGCCTGCCAACCTGCCCAGACAACAAGAGTCAACAATGCTTACAGAGAGCAGGAAAGGATAGGTCCACTCCAATACAAAAGAGAGAATTTATTTGTGGAGGCAGAGAAAGTGGGTGAGGTCCTTAATGATTACTTCACATCAACATTCACCAAAGAGAAGGACATGGATAATGGTGCGATTAGGGAGGAGTATGTTGATATTCTATGTCTGTCGATATTAAGAAGGAGGTGATGTTGCTTGTCTTGAAAAACATTAAGGTAGATAAGTCCCCAGGGCCTTATGGGATCTATCCCAGCATACTGAGGGAGGTAAGGGAAGAGATTGCTGAGTCTTTGAAAAAGATATGTGTATCCTATTTAGCCACAGCTGAAGTCCCAGAAGACTGGAGAATAGTCAAAGTTGTTCCTTTGTTTAAAAAGGGCAACAGGAATAATCCAGCATATTAGACTTACATTAGTGTTAGGGAAATGATTGGAGAAGATTCTTAGGGACAGAATTTATTTGCTCTTGGAAAATAATTGACTTATTATGAATATTCAGCATGGCTTTATGTGAGGAGGTCTCATCTGACAAATTTGATTCAGCTCGTTGAGGAAGTGACTAAGATGATTGATGAGTCTAGGGCAGTGGATAAAAACTGAAAGAACTGCAGATGCTGTAAATCAGGAACAAAATAGAAGTTGCTAGAAAAGCTCAGCAGGTCTGGCAGCATCTGTGAAGAAAAAATCAGAACTGAGTGAGTGGATGCTGTCGACATAGACTTTACTATAACATTCAACAAGGTCCCTCTTAGTAGGCTGGTCCAGAAGATTAAGTCACATGGGATCCATGGTGAGTTAATAAGTTGGATACAGATGTTTTCTTGGCCATAGAAGACAGAGGGTAGTTGTGGAGGGTATTTTCCTGACTGGAGATCTGTAACCAGTGGAGATTTGCAAGGATCGGTGCTGGGATCTCTGTTGTCTGTAATATATAGAAATGATTTAGATAAAAATATAGGTGGTCTGATTAATAAGTCTGCACAAGACATGAAAATGGGTGGAGTTGTGAATAGTGAGGAATGTTGTCAAAGGATATAGAAAGGTTGGAAAATTGGGTGGAGAAATGGCAGATAGAATTTAATCCAGACAAGTGCGAGGTGAGGCATTTTGGAAGTTCAAATTTAAGAGGAAAGCATACAGTAATTGGCAGGACTCTTAGAAGCAGTGATATACAGAGAGATCTTGGGTCCACAGCTCCCTGAAAATGGTAACACAAATGGATAAAGTGGTAAAGAAGGCATACAGCGTGCATGCCTTCATCGTTCAGGGCATCGAGTATAAAAATTGGCAAGTCATGTTGCAGCTGTATAAGACTTTAGTTCGGCCATGTTTGGAGTATTGTGTGCAGTTCTGGTCACTATTTTATTGGAAGACTGTGGAGACTTTGGAAAGGGTGCAAAAGAAGTCTACCAGGATAGTTAGAGATAACAAGGTGTAGAGCTGGATGAACGCAGCAGGCCAAGCAGCATCAGAGGAGCAGGAAAGCTTTCCTTGTTATCTCAGATTCTCCATCATCAGCAGTTCCTACTATCTCTGTACCAGGATAGTTACTTGGTTTGGAGTGTATTCGCTATAAGTATAATAATGAAAGCAGCTAACAATGGGCACACTAATGATTACACCAGGGTTGTTGCATGATGGGCAGTGCTGTAAAATAGTCATATAGGGACCTCTCCTCATTATTGTACGTAATTCAATAAAAGATTCAATAAAACGTCATCTCCATGGCAGTCTATGAGCGTGTTCACAACACCGAACCTGGCTGCTGTTCAGAGATTCCCTGAATTGGGAACAGCACTGCAAGTGTCCATTGGGACATTTTTTATATTCTTATTTCACTCAGTCATTAAGAATCTCCACCATCAGCCCCAAACAGGGCCTCATTCCAGACAAAATAGACTGTGAAAGACCTGCTTAGAATAACATTGCAAATACAAGCCAAAAGGTGAAAGGGCTGCAGAGCATCCTTGTGTGTGCGATCACAGGAGACAAGAATCCCATTGAAAAAAGGGACACAGAAAGATAAGACAGAGTGAAATGAAGCCAGCTCCTCCTGGCTGTTCACAGAATAAATCCCCCACGTGGTGTCAGCTGTGCAGTTTAGAAAGTTCTCTCATTCAATCTCAGCATCATCTCCCTCAGGGCCAGAGTTAAAGCAATTGGACTCCATTCTCCTGGGTTGAAGAGAGGAAAAGTCAGCCCCAGGTTACAGCCCACAATCACTAACGAGTATTCTCTGTCGGTAATGATACATCCAACCTCAACCGAGGACAAGGACAGGCTGGGCTTTGAATATTTCAGTAGCCTGACAGCACTCAATATCAAGATTCACAATTAGTGGGCACCAGCCTTGGTGAGGCCTCTGGAATTGAACCTCAGCTTCCATCAGCTCCTTCAGAAAATGAGAAGGAGAGGACATAAAAGTCAATAGTGATTATATTGTCACAAGCTCTCAGTCATTGAGGGAGAAGACGGTTTCATCATAGGTTAAAGAGGTTCCTGTCAAAATCCTGATCATTGTCAGATAACGTGCTGGTCTCAATTGGTACAGGAATTATAACAATCATTTATTCTTCTTCCCTAAGTGCAGAAAGTGAAAAGACCAAAGGAAAAGGATGACAAGGAAGATTGTATCAGATCACTATTGATCCATAAGCACAGCCAGGAACATGTGCTGTTATATGTGTTTGACAATGGGGAGGAAGCAGGTACTTCTCAATCTAGAGAACAGAGCACAAAGGCAGCCAAAAACCTACAGCACAGCACTTCACACAGCACCACATAGATACAGTATATACATACATATATATGTGTGCTGATATATATGTCTATATATATGAATCAGTGTTAACAGAAACGTGTGTGATTAACTCTATAATGCTCAGCATTGAAAAGTAAATGAATTGTACTAACACGATATTTCTGGGAGAAAAAAAAGCAGGCAGGTTAACAAAGCATAATTCCTAAAAGACTGATCTTAATGTATTACACAAGGTTGCATGCTTACATTAACAAATACCAAGAATGCACTGAGATTTATAAATCAGTATTTCTCTAAAATTCAGACACAAAGAAAATGTAATCTTTGTTGCAGAATTAACAAGGCTACATATTACTCACAACATAGTCGATATAATTAGCAAAAGTGGAAACAATATCAGCTGTCTTGTAAAGAAGGGGAAAAAGGGTTATTTTTGATCATTTCTTTCCCCTGAAGGTAGTACCTCTGTTGTTCACAGATCCAAAAACTGGAAGAACAAGATATCCGACATGTACTAGCACCATCCTGGAGCCTTTGTTGCTGACGGCCGCTGAGACAGATGGCCCATGGAGCTGCTGCCCTCCAATCCCCTATATACATTCAAATGTGGAGCTGTGCCTGCAGCTGCCTCTCATACAAAGAACAGCAGGGCAATCAAGAACACTCATTATCCAGAGACTTTATATCCTGTGGCACTCCAGCCAGCCAATCGGGGTTACTGACCCTATTGTACATGACCCCCACCCCCACTTCAATGTATCCTTCCCGTACTCCTCTCCCCACACATGCACATACAGTCTCCCTCTATTTCTCTTCTGTAGTATGTATGCATGACTGTGTCTGTATTAAAAAAGATATGTGCATATGATTTAGTGAGAGAATTTGGCTGCATGTGTATGATAGGCAATTTCATGTTTCAGAACTGTTGATGGTACAGATTGGATACAAAATGCAGTTTCTTTTCAGAGATGGGTGACCTTTGTCTGCAACTGCCCCCATTTTGAAAAGTCTAATTTTCAACTGCTTCCTGAAGCTTTGGGAGTAGATGTGATGGACGTGGCTCAGCGTATGTTTACTAGATTGACTCCTGGAATGTGTGGGTTGTCTCATGCGGATAGGTTAGATGGGCTGGGCTTGTTTTTACCGGAGTTTAGATGAGTGAGGGGTGACTTGGTTGGAGGCTTCAAGATTCTGAATGGTTTTCACAGGATCTTATGGGTGATTTATAGCTCGTATGGGTGGCACAATGGCACAGTGGTTATCACTGCCACCTCACAGCTCCAGGTACTCAGGTTCACTTCCAGTCTTGGGTGACTCTACGTAGAGTTTGTAGTTCTCCCCGTGTCTATGTGGATTTCCTCCCCCAATCCAAAGATATGCAGGTTCGGTCAATTGGACCCTCTGGGTGGGATGCTGTTTGGAGGGCTGGTACAGTCTGAATGGTCTATTTCCACACCGTAGAGATTCATGAATCTAGAAGTAGAGGCAGAGTTTTAAAATGAAGCATTGCTATTTTTGGGAAAACAATGAGGAGTACTTTTTCTTTATTTTCGACGGTTGTGTAACTCAGTCTTAGAGGTGGTACAGGCAAGGTGATTGAATCAGTTAAAGACAGGTGACTAGATTCATAGAGTCATAGAATCATATAGCATGGAAAAAGACCTTTTGGTTCAACCAGTCCATGCCGAACATAATTCCAAACTAAACTAGTCCCACCTGCCTGCTCCTGGCCCATATCCCTCCAAATCCTTCCTATTCACTTATCTATCCAGATGTCTTTTAAATGTTATAATTGTACCTGCATCCACCACTTCTTCGGAGAGTTCATTCCACACGCGAACCACCCTCTGTGTAAAATATTGCCTCTTATGTCTTTTTCAAATCTCTCTCCTCTCACCTTAAAAATGTGCCCCCAGTCTCGAAATCCCCCATCATTGGGAAAAGACAACTACCATTAACTCAGAGATAGTAGGAACTGCAGATGCTGGAGAATCCGAGACAACAAGGTGCAGGGCTGGATGACTTGGCCTGCTGTGTTCATCCAGCCCTGCACCATTAACTCTCATTATTTATAAACTTTTATCAGATCACCTCTCAACCTCCTGCGCACCAGTGAGAAAAGCTTCAGCCTATCCAGCCTTTCTTTATACCTCAAACTTTCCATACCCGGCAACATCCTGGTAAATCTCTTTTGAACCGTCTCCAGCTTGATAATATCCTTCCTGTATCTGTTAGGCAGAGAAATCAAAGGTTATCAGGAGTCAATGGGAATGTGGAATTTGAAAAACAAACAGAACAACCAGGATCTTATTGAATGATGGAGCAGGCTTGAGTGGCTAAATGGCCTATTTAAAAACAGAAAGAACTGCAGATGCTGTAAATCAGAAACAAAAACAGAAATTGCTGGAAAAGCTCAGCAGGTCTGGCGCATCTGTGAAGAGAAATCAGAGTTAATGTTTCAGGTCCAGAGACCCTTCCTCAGAACTGACAGCTCACGCTCCTATTTTGTATATTCATAGATCTGGAACTTATGCAACAGTGTAAAATAGGTAATAGCAAACTGGGAGCTTCTTTCCCATCTCCCCTGAAATGCATTTTAATTGAAGTCAAAATTAACAGACGAATCTCAATTTTTTTTCTAGAAATGTTGGGTTCTCTCCTTTCTCTACATACTTCCTATTGTAAAGCACCCCTTACCCGACAAGCATTCATGAGAAGCAGTTTACTACAACATCTCCTCCCGCTCTCCTATAGATTTGTCCTTTGCCTGAGACCGATGCCTTCCATTGATCAGCAGCAGGAACAGGAACTCTGACTGTAATTGCTTTCACTAGCCCAGGGGCACTGGGATCTATTGCAGGTAACACCGCAGCGATCAACCAATTCAATAGTTTCTAATTCTGCTATACCACACAAACTGGAGATGCTGGTGTAGTGGTAATGTTACTGGACCAGTGATGTAGGTTATTGCTCTGAGAACAGAGGTTCAAATCCTACTGAACAGCTCGTTGAATTTTGATTTGGTTAAGAAGTCTGGAACTGAAAACTAGTCTCTGTAATAGTGCCCCATGAAGTTATCATTGTAAAATCCTATCTGCCTCACTACTGTCTTTTAGGGAAAGAAATAAAAAAGAAAGATAAGCTATCGGAATGCTGGCCTTTATATCTAGAGGACTGGCGTATAAGGATGCAGAAGTTAGGCTGCAGCTATACAAAACCCCACTTGAAGTATTGTGAACAGACCTAGCACCACACCTTAGGAAGGATATATTGGCCTTGGAGGGAGTACAACCCAGGTTTACAAGAATGTTACCTGGACTTCAAGGGTTAAGTTATGAGGAGAGATTATTCAAATTGGTAACTTTTTCACACAGAGGGTGGTGTGTGTATGCAATGAGCTGCCAGAGGAAATGATAAAGGCGGGTACAATTACATTTACAAGGTATCTGGATGGGTATATGAATAAGAAGGGTTTAGACAGATATGGACCAAATGCTAACAAAGGGAACTAGGTCAGATTGGGAAGTCTAGTCGGCACAGACAAGTTGGATTAAAAGGGTCTGTTTCGGTGCTATATGACTTTATGACTCTACATTAGGCCTGTTTTTTTCTAGAATTTAGAAGGTTAAGGGGTGATCCATTGAAGTCTTCAAAATATTAACAGGAAAAGGTGGGCAAGATAAAGAAAAACTATAGAACTAGGGACATAGTCTGAGAATTAGGGCCAGATTGTTCAGGAGAGATATTAGGATGCACTTTAACGCACAAAGAATGGTTTTTGTTTGGAATTTTCTTCCACAATTGGCAGTGGATGTTGGATCGGTTATTAGTTTTAAGTCTGAGATAGATACATTTTTGCTGAGCACTGGTATTAAGGAATATGGGCCAAAGGCAGGTATTAAATTTAAGCCACAGATCAGCCAATGATCTCATTGAATGGCAGAACAGACTTGAGGGGTTGAATGGCCTACTCCTGTTCCCACATTTCCTGTGAAATCTGTTTTTCTCATCTAGTCTGGTCTGATGAACATGTGACACCAGATCCACAGCAATGTACTTGATCCTTAAATAACCTCTGAAATGATGTAGCCACTCAATTCAAGGGCAATTGAGATGGACGGTCTTGTCAGTGACACCCACATCCCATGAAAGAATTAAAAAGATCCCTGAAGACGTCAACTTCCTCTTGAGGATCTAGTTCCATTCAATCAAGTTTTTATTTTGCTATTTCTCATCAAAAACTTTGCCAATCACAGTTAACATCAAGTTTGCTCTAAGTCACATAGCCTGAACATTGTGTAAGTAAAATAAATAGAAAAGAAACTTAACAGTTAACTCCCTGTCTCTCCAGCAGCTTTCCCTTCTGGTTCATTGCTGAAACTGCATTTGTTAATCTTTACTCACTCTTTGTCATTTCTAGTTCTTATAAGAGGAAATTGACAAAATTGTCCATTTTTCATTTGGTCTTTCCTGGTAATCATCTTGGTAAACAAATTGCCTTCAACAACAACATCTTGTATTTGTGCAGCACCTTTAATTTAGTAAAATGTAGCAAGACCATTTATAGGAGGATTATACAATACACCACGCCACATAAAGAGATATGAGGCCAGCTGACCAAAAGCTTGGTTAAAGATGTAAGCTGTAACGAGTGTCTTACAGGAAGAAATTGAGGTAGACAGGCAGAAATGTGTAAAGAACTAATCCAGAATTTGATCCTAGACAAGTGAAGGCAGAGCCTCCAGTGATGGTGTACTTAATATCAGAGATACACAAGGCCAGAATAAAATAGTGTGGCTATCGCAGAGGGCTGTGGGCCTAAATTGTCCCTTATTTTTAAATTATGTCCCTGGTTCTAAACTCCCCAAACAGGGGAAGCATTTTGTGTGCATCTATCCTGAATTCATCCCCACCATAACCTTTCAGCTCCTTCTCTATCCAAAATCTCTCTAACTTTGTCTTGAATTAATAAAGTCTCCACTGCATTCTGGAGAATAACATTCCACAGACTCTTCCTATTTTTTGATCTGGTCTCCGATTTCCCTCACCTCCCTTTATCTGAAGGTATTGATAAAAGGGATGTAGGTTGTTGGGCAGTGGCTACAATAATTTGTTAAATATGGACTTTGATCATTAGTTTCATAGGTCCAAGTACATCAGCATGACATGGCAAATGTGTTTGCAACTATTGGCCTGATTTTTTTGCACAGGTGGAGAGGCTCACCATCGAAGTGAAAATGGCAACAAAAGCTCAAGTTCAGAAGTTTTCCTTTGTGCTAGCTGGATGACCAAAATATGGCTTGCACAATTTGAACTGGTAGGAAAAGGCCCAAAGCTGTTTGTATCCTTTAGAAAGGTAAGGTGTCCTTTTAGATGTGGCCCTGGAGCACTTTTGCTGGAGTCAGATACCCCCTTGGGAGGTCTAAGATGCCCATTGAGATTGTTTAAGGTAAACATAAATAAGCATAAAAAGTGCATAAACACATTTGGTGCTGTCAAACTCATGGAAATTGTCAAGGAAAAT